CCTTTAATGTATTTCATCGAGTCTCCAAGCCTCTACCTAACATTACTGCAAGGGAGGAGTTGAGGGATTAGGGCTACCACATCTGGGCTGCCAAAATCCGGTCGGAGTGCTCTGTATGAGTACGTGTGTTCATACCTGAATCCAAGGGGGTGTGTGCGTGTGTGTGTGAGTGACTGGCTAAAGTTAAATCTGCCTGGCTGCTTCTATTATTTATAGATAAGAGCTGTGCATTTTCCCACACCTGAGAAAATGCAGTTGTGAGGGAGAGAAAATGCTGGGTGGAAAGGGCAGATTTGAAATGTCTTTGGAACAAAGGGATCCTGGCTTGCAGGACAAGGAGTTCGGCCATAGGCGACCCAGGAGGACAGAATTTGGAGCCCCCCACCATCCCCAGGATAGGCTGGTTTTCCCATTTAGATGCAGTAGATATAAGAAGGAGGATGCATTTAGGAACCAAGTTCCTTGCCTCCATGTAGTGTGTGAACACGGCCAGTACGGCTAGTCTAACCAATTATTTATTTATTTGTTTGTTATTAAATTTGTATGCCACCCCTCTCCCCCAACGGGTGACTCTGGGTGGCTCACGGTTAAGATCAAAAACCCATAAACGATTAACCCCCCCATGAATAATTAAAATTCATCATTCCATTCAAAATCAACTATGAAGACAAACCCTATACATAAATACTAAAAACTTTCAAGATGACCGGGGGGCGGGGGGGGGGGCAAAGTCAATTACCCCACAAGCCACCTGCACTGGTGCGAGCCCGTTACGGCTTTCCAAAGTCCTGGTGTAGTGAAATCCACAAATGTGGCTTTGTCAAGCGTGGGCCTGGGTTCACAGCGTTCCCACTTGGAAGTTCAGCCCGCCTGATGTCTGAAGGAAGGAGCTGCTAACGTGTCCTGACCTGCGCATCGGTAGCACCACTCAAAGGCCTGCTTCAGCCCATGCTCAAAGAGCCCGAAGATGAGCAGATTGGAAGATCTGTGCATTCTCACTGTGATGCTTCAGAGAGAGATCACCCACCTTCTGAAGTGGTCCACCAGCACCCCCACCAGCTCTCCAACCCGATTGTCATCGGCCGGCTGCATTTTGTGGAGACACACCACCAGGCCCTTCTGGTTTTGCAGGTGGAAGACCACCAGCTGGTCCTCTCCGCTGGTTACGCTCACACCGGTCACCTGTCGGGACGAAGAAGCACAAAAAATGGGTATTTTCCCCCATGGAGCCCGAGGGCCAAGCAAAGGCAGCGTCTTACGCGAATAAACAGGTTTTTAAGAAGCTAGTTTGGGCAGCTGACAACGTGTGAGTGATCAAGGTCCGGAGAAAGGAACGGAAGTGTTTCCTCAGGCCGGGGATGAGGGTCTCGATGTTGCGCAACGTCTGCATGGCCGCAGCCTCAAGTAGGTGGAACAGCAAAGAAAGAGCAAAGGGTATTTCTGGCTGGAAGAATTATCTGGGTGTCTATTCAGCCAGCTTCCTTAGGCATTTCCACTAATGTTATGCCCACAACCACCACCCTGTGAGGTAGGTTGGTCTGGAAGAATAGGCCTGGCCTGCCACCCTCATGAGCTCTGTGGTCAAGTGGAGGCTTCACTCTCACCCAGGGAATGCACAGCCAAGACTTCTCCCCTGGAGTCAGCAAGGAAGCTGGTTTTCTTTTCCATGTGGCCTCAACGCCCTTTTCGTGGCTTCACTGCTTTCTCCACCCACGTCTGATGCACAACTCACGTTTCTCTGCCCCCGTTACTCCACCCTGCCACTTCGCCCTCTCTCCTGACACGAGACGAGACCCCTCTCCCCCCAGACAGAGAAACAAGCCCTAAGCAGCCTCTCCGTCATATTTCAAAGCCAATAAAACCTTTGGCACCACCACGCTCTTTACTGGATTAAAATGAATTCAGCATCTTTTGAAAGCGTCGTTTTGCTTTTCAGGTAAGAAGCCCCCGTGGACCACAGCCTGCCCAGAAAACCCTGTCCCCAGATGTGATGCACCCCAACTGCTTGGCATCCCTGCCCTTGCGGATGCCATTTTGGGCCCCCAGACTGTGCCTAATTTAGTACGTGGGGTGAATCCTCCATGCTCAGGCAGGGCCAAAGAGGAGAATATCTGTATAGCAACCTGGCATGGGGCAGAGCTTTTTCTGGGGGGGCACCCCACTTATGGAATTCCCTCCCCAAGGAGCCTTGACTGGTGCCCACGCTGCCATCGTTGTGGCATCAGTTGAAGACTTTTGATCTTCCCTTTGGATGTTCCCCTGGCTTTTAATTGTATTTTAATTCATCTCATTTTGGTTTTTGAATAACTGTCTTGCAGCTGGCTGCCCCAGGAACCCCTTCTGCTCTGTTTCTGCCCCCCACCCTCAAAATCAGGAGACCTCCTACTTACCGTGCTGAGAGGAATAGTTTTTTTCACTCGGTACTGCTTCCTGGGATCCATCTTGTACAGGTGCTGGTCAGTGATGAGAAGGGCTCGATCCGTGCGCTTGTTACAACGGTTGATCTGTGGCAGTTGTGAGAAGGTCAAGAAACCCCATGGGAAGAAGCAACCCAGGGCCCTCCACGTTGAGAAAGGGCAGGCAGCCCATCCGTTTCAGCCCCAGAGAGAGAACGTGTCAATGCGCCATCCTGTAGGGACTTCCTGCCTAAAACTGAACCAGCTTCATGCTTCTAACTGGCCCCTGCTGGAGGTGGTATCATAGAGACCTCCAGGGCTAGAACAGCCTTCTCTAACCGGGCACCTTCCAGATGTGAGGGGACTTGGCAATGCAACACCTGTGGATGCCAGATATCCCTGGCTCCCCAAACAGCCTCTCACAACCTCCCCCAATTAAATTAAAACGAAACGAATCTTATTTTTGAAAGACGAATGCAAGCGGTACCTGCTAAACCCTAAAATCGGTTAGAGGCGCTTTCAACATTCTCAAGCAAGATCTCACGAGAGTCAGCAACCCTTTGAACTGGGAGGAGTGTGTGATCGCACCTGTCAGAGCCAAGGGGGTGAAATGTTCTCAACCCCAGGGTAGAAGGGACCCCCTTCATCCCCAGGTTTCTGATCATTTCTTGGGGAAGACATATGCCAACACATCTGGAGGAGGTCAGAATAGAGCCCAAGACAATCTCACCCCAAAGCAGTGCTTCCCCACTGCTCCCAGATTGGAGCAGGCCCCATTGTTAAGGAATTGCATTCCCTCTGAAGCCTGCTACCCGTCAGCAAACAGGCATTTTCATCTATTCTAGGAAACAGTTCTGCAGTTGAAATGGGGCTGTTGATCGTCCTGGGATCAAGGGAAGAAAGAAGAGAGGACACTCCAGCTTTCTGTGCAGTGAATATTGTATGCCAGTGTTTCTCCACCTTGGCCACTTGAAGATGGGTGGACTTCAACTCTCAGAATTCCCCAGCCAG